CCCCCCCCCCCCCCCCAGCCCACGAGAAAAGCGCATGAAGGCTCGTACATCAGAATGTATGTATCCACCCGTCGATAAATTTAAACACCTAGCTACCAGTGCATGCCACGCCACACGCCATGCCATGCCGCCCCGTCTGTACAAGTATGCAGCACGCGCTGCATCCACCCATCCATCCATCCATCCCTCCATCCATCCGTTGAAAGCTACATATTCATTCACCCACTCATCTGTCTACCTACGCCTCCCCAGCTGACACTGGTTGTGTCTGCCTCTCGCTCGCCTTCTCTACTCGCGGCACCTCCTCCTTGCCGCCGCTGCTGCTGCTGCTACTGCTGGTGGTGGTGGTGTCAGCTGCCATCGTGGTTGCCTCAGGGGGCACCAGTGCCGCCCCGGCAGCGGCCCGCCCGTTGACAGAGATGTCCCCCAGTATCTCATCGTCCTCTCGCGGCCGCCTGGATGCCCGCGGCGGCACTGCATGCGTCTGCGCGTCCTTGAGGAGGTCCTCCCAGCTCATGTTGAGTATGTCCGACACGTCCGGTGTGGGCAGCATGTTCTTGAGCTCCTCTGGTATGATGTCGTCGAGCTTGATGTCATACTCGATGGGGTTGCTCTTGAAGTACTGCTTGAGGGACCAGCTGATGGCCGTGACCAAGACGTTGCTGGCAATCCAGTAGATGACCAGGGCACTCGGTACCGACAGGGCGAAGTAGCCGATGAGGAAGGGAAGGTACTTGAGCAGCTCCTGCACACGTTTCGACTGCTCGTCCTCGGCCGGTGGCGTCAGGATGGCCTGCGAGATGTACTGCGAGATGACATAGATGACGGGGACGGTCAGGTAGAGCAGCGTTGCCTCCCATCCGAGCGGAGGATTGGAGCCGTCCCAGCCAGTGGTGAGCCAGTTGAGTGCCTGTGCGGGGTCGGCACCGAATGTGGGGCCCTCGAGGTTGGGGATCCAGAGGAAGCTCTCGCTGAGCTGGCCGTCCTTGGCGAGATTGGACAGGCTGCGATAGAGGCCCAGGAAAATGGGAATCTGCACGAAGGCCGGCAGGATGGAAGCCAGGGGGTTGACCTTGGCCTCCTGGTACAGCTGCGCCGTCAGGAGGGTCTGGATCTGCTGGTTCTTGCCGAAGCGCTTCTTGATCTCCTGCACCACCGGGTTGAGGGCCTGGATCTTCTGCGTGCCCTGCATCTGGTTCCACGTTATGGGGAAGACGAAGATGCGGATCAGCACGGTGAAGACGATGATGGCCCAGCCGAACTGGGGAATGCCTGCACACAACACGCGACAGGCAGGAGAGTGAGAGGAGACATCGAGATATCCCTGGAGCCGCCGTGCTTGCTTCCCCTATCCCCTGTGCACTTGCTGACCGAATTTGTCTTCCATGACGTGGTGCACTTGATAGATCATATTCTCCAGGAAGCTCACGTAGTTGTCCCACCATCCCGGCTCCTTGGCCACCTCCTCAGTGACGGTCTGGACTGCCTGTCCGACGGCCTCCCCTCCCTCCCCGGCAGCCTGGGCCACACCCTGCAGCACCTCCATGACGGGCCCGAACCCACCGGCTGACACGGGTGGCGACGGGATGAACGACAGGGCGGCGGGGAGGAGGGCTGACAGGGTGGTGGGATCCAGCATGCGCGGAGAGGGGCGAGACCGACGCAATGGTGGACGAGAGGCCTGCAACGACCGCACATAATGGTTTGCCATCAGGCCTCACGGATCCTGTCGTGTCCATTCTACCTGCAGCCTGTTCACGGCGGTGAACGCTGAAGTCCTCGCGAAGCCAGCCTGAATACACCAGACAGCATGCACGGTCATGCTCCTTCCGTGATCTCTGTGTGCATGAGGATGCTCTTGCTCACGGCATAGTGGTTGAGGCCGATGCAGAGAGCCAGCGCAGCGGCGAGCCACTGCCTCCGATGATACCTCATCCTCTGAACACTGCTGTTGCGTAGTCAACGCCAGATCTGCGCAACGATCCCTCGAGCTTAGCTCGCAAGTCAAGCTTGCAAACTCAGTCTCGAACTTAAAACCCTTCCTGCAGTCACAACTGCAAGGTAAAGCTGCAGCAACGTGCATTCGCCTCCATTTGTTTCCTTTTATCTGCAGGTTTTTCGTTCATTCCATCACAAGTGTTGCAGTGTGACTCACAAGCATGAGCAGCGGCGGTCCATCGTCGGGCCTTCGTGGCCCTGAGGGCGAGGGCGGGAGTGTGCGGATGGAGTTCGACGGCGATGACATCCCCCCCTTCGCCAACGAGAGCAACAAGCGGCTGGATGCGGCCATCAAGCAGAAGAAGGCGCGGCTGGTGGACATGGAGGAGCAGATCACGGAGGTCACCGAGAGGGTCCAGACCATGACCAGCCACCTCAAGAATGTGCAGCAGGAATGCCAGCACACACAGGCCCTCGTCGAGGCCAAGAACAAGGAGATAGAGACGGAGGAGCATATGACACATCTCGCCAAGAGGCAGGCCGCCCGTCTCGGTGCCGAGTTGAAGCGATTGGAGGGGCTCATGGAAGAGTACCAGGTCAGCAAGACAGCCATGACAACGCATAGCATATGTATTGCTGCGGTATGATTGTCTTTTATCTTTCTATCTTTGTTGGTTGTGTGTGTCCACAGGACCGGATGAATACGAACCAGAATGAGATCTTCAAGGGCAACGAGAAGCTGGACCAGTTCAAACTGGAGATGAACTGGAACCAGGAAGAACTCGAGCAGTGGGCAGTCGCCGCTAGACAGAAAGAGGTCAGCAAGCATAGCATCTGTACCAAACACACCAGTGGGAGACACGAATGTTGTATCGATGCTTGATGTCCTGGCGTGTGCAGGAGGACAATCTGACGATGGACAAGTACCACCGTGCAGACGAGCAGAAGATCCGCGACCTCAACCTGGCGGTGCAGAAACTCACGGTCGGTGCGCCCGAATATAATACTGCAGCGGAGACACCAGTGAGTGACATATGAAGACGCTTGGCTTCCTGTCCTGTCTGTGTGTGCAGATGGAGGCCAGTGAGAAGAAGGACGAGTTGGAGAAGGAGGTGACGGAGACACAGGCAGCACAGATTGAGCTGGAACGCACTGCCGAGCAGTTCAAGAAGCTGCACATCGACCGACACGCACTCATCAAACAATGGTCAGTCATGCAAGCATGGCAACCATCGATTCTCCCCTGACGCCGCGCTTGTTGTTGTGTGTGTCAGGGAGGATGCGGTGACGGCCATGCGGAAGCGAGACGAGGCAATCCGCCAGGCTGGGGAACACTATGCAGCCCTCCAGAATGACATCAAAGTGCAGCAGCAGAAGCTCGGTGAGGATATATCGGTGAAGCCGTCCACATCTCCCTGTGCATACATACATGTCTTGATTGGCCTGTCAGGCAAAGCCAAGGCGTTTTTGGCTCAGGAGCGAGCCACCAACGATCAAGTGGAGACAGAGATTGGCAACACCGACAGACAACTCGTAAGGCAAATTTCTGCACCAAGACGAGAGAGAGGAGAGAGGCGCTATTCTCACATGTATGTGACTCTGTCAGGCTAAGCTCCGTCTTGAGTACATGGATTCCAAGAATGGCCTCGTTGAGTTCAAAGACGAGGTAGGTCACAATACGCAGACACATCCGGAGCTCTTGTTTCCAGGTGCAATATCTCTCATCTGTATCAGGTGGAGGTCCTTCGCAATCAGCTGGCCGGCGCTGCGACAGAGCTGACGAACCGCAAGAACAAGCTGGCCAGCGTCACTGAGACACTCGAAGAGAAGAAGAAAAAGTGGGGCGTGCTGCAGAAGAAGGTCGAGACCACAAACAAGAAACTGGAAAACGAAATCAAGACAGCCGCCGACAAAGAGTCATACGCCAGAGAGGTCAGCGAGCCAGTCAAACGCACCTGGCCGTACGGCTTGTACGCGTGTGTGCCCGTCGTGTCTCAGGCTGAGGCACTGCACGCGGAGATGGACTACCGAATGCTTGAAGCAGAGAAGGAGCTCAAGAAAGTCAAAGAAGAGCTCTTCAAACAAAATTCGGTGAGCCCTTGAGTCGCAACCGATAAGTCAACACACTGACGTATGCTCTCCTCACCTCAGGAGCTGTATGCGCTCAGAAACGAAGAGGCCACCACTCTGGGCGAAATTTCAGGCGCACAGTCGTCCCTCAAGACACTCTCAGTAATCCATTCATTCTGGCACACATCTGTCTGTTTGTTTGTCTCATTCAGTTCCAGATCCACAAGCTGGACCAGGAGCGGCAGCGTCAGCAGGAGTTGCTTTATGCCGTCGACTTCCAGTCGCAGCTCATGCAGCGCAAGGTCGCTAGGGTGTCGGGGGAGCGCACATTCGAGGAAAAGGAGGAACTCAACAAAAAGATCGACCAACTCGAAAAGGTACGTACATGGGCACGGACACTCTATTCCCGAGCATCGCGTGACGTCTATTCTCTTGTTTGTGTGTTGCCAGCAATTGGAGGAGCAGGCGGGTCTCTGGCAGATCCTCAGCACACAAATCAAACGAGTTGACGCAGAACTCAGGTGCGTGTGGCTGCGATTGACCACAGAAAGAGTGCGTCTCATGAGATGCTTGTCTTCCTCCGTGCTGCTCAGGCAGAGTCGGCGTGACATCGCCGCCGTGACCAAAGACGGCGAGGGCCTCAAGACCGTCCTCGATGAGATGAACCTGGAGAGCAAGTCGCTCAAGAGGGCGTTGCAGAACGCCCAGAAGGAGAGGGCTGATCTGCTGGTCACACACGACCTCCTCAAGCTGGATGTCAACCGTCTCCGCGAGTCCCTCAACGCACAGTCGGAGGAAGTCTTCGCACTCGAAAACAAAAAGTTCCAGCTCCAAATGACGTAAGCATGGGCCGAGAATACGATTGGAGCGGGCAATATCTATCGTGTCTCTTCCTTAGCATGGAGGAGCGCGAGAAAAAGGTCGAAGTCCACCAGGAAATTCTCAGAGCACAACAGGTGACAGAGGCAGCAATACGTGATCCTTGACACGCAGTAACTCGCCCTTTTCTCTTTGTGTGTCAGTGTTCAGCTGAGGAGGAGAAGTCGAAGATCGCCAAGGAGCTGGGGGAGCGCCGCAGCAAGATCAACATCCTCAAGTCCAAGTACGAGTCGGTCATGGCGAGAATGAAAAAGGAGGAGGGCGAGGAACACTCACAGGCCTACTTCATCATCAAAGCCGCCCAGGAGCAGGAGGAGCTGCAGCGACAGGGAGACGAGCTGGACGCACAGATACGGCGACAAGAGAAGGAAATCCGCGCCCTCGAGAACACCCTGGGACACCTCCTCGAGCGCAATCACAGATTCAAAGACAACTTCAAAAAGGTCCCTCCCCAAGTGCCGTCAGTCATTCGTGCCAGCAAAGTGACCTCCCTCTCCCCCTTGTCGCTTCCAGGCGGACGCGGCGGTGCACGCTGAGGCGGACGAGAAGAAGCAGCTGGAGAAAGAGGTGCGTTCCGCCAACGAGCAGCTGTTCGAGAAGAAGCGGACATTGAATGAGATCGAGAAGGAGTACGACGAGGACGAGAGGCGGCTGTATGAGCTCAAGAAACACAAGGAGAGAATACAGCTCACTCTGCAGGTAGGAGGGAGGGTGGGACACACATACATGCAGCCGTCACTTGTGGGTGCGATTCTGTGTCTGCCTGCAGGAGTTGAGTCACAGCAAGAATGTGCTCGAGAAGGAGTTGGCGGACCAGGAGGACAAGATCGACAGGGCATTCAAGTCCATGCAGCAGAGGAGAAGGGCAGCCAAGGAGGCTGGCAAAATGGTAGGTAGCAGAGTCAGCAGAAATGCCTTCCGTGGCACTGCGTCTCGTGTCTCCTGTCGTGATCTGCGCAGAGTGACGCGACTGAGCAAGCACACAGCTCCTTGGAGCTCGACGCTCAGGTACTTTTCTGCAGGTGTTGGTCGCGAGTGTGACTGACTGATATTCTTCTCAAACCTCTCTCACCGCTTGGCAGTCTGTCGTCCTCAAAGACCAGAACCAGGCCATTCTCCATGCTATCGCGTAAGAGACACGCACGCGGGGAGAGACTGCTCTGACAAGAAGAGCAGATTGTCGTTGTGCATATGTCTGTGCCCAGGACCTGCCTGCAAGAGCAGCCTGACACGCTGCACTTCGTCCAACAAATCGCGCAGCAGAGAGGCTTGCATCTTCCCTCAAGGGCGCCCTCCGCGACACCGTCACAAGGATCAGTCCGGTAGGCGTGACTCGCCACGGAAAGAGCACGGTGTGACATACATACCTTTCCTGCTGGCAAATGAACAATAAATAGGAATGGCGATCCTGGCCGAGGGGCGGCCAGACCTGGCTCCGCTGGGTGAGTTCTCAAAGTCCGACCGAAGATGGAGGAGGCCACATTCACGCCCGGGCTGCTGCTCTGTGTGTGTGTGTGTGTCTGCAGGAGCCAGGGTGCCATCAATGTTGGTGGATAAGCTACGGTAGTTTGCGTATTTTTGTTTGTTCAGCGTCTGTCGATAGGGTGGGCCAACGATTGCGTGCGCTGGCCCGTGGGTCGGGTGGCTGTCTGGTGCTGACTGACTGACCAACTGAGTTCCATTAAAATTGCCTCTCGCGTGTCCCTCCCATTCATTGTCTGTCTGCGGAAGCACCAACCAAGCCGACATATGTACCGACTGAACTGACACGAACAAATAAACAGAAGTGTCAGTGAGTGATGCATCTCCGTGCAAAACACCACACCCATGTAGGATGTGTGTGCAACCAACATACACAAAAAGACAACTACTTACTGGCAAGGCAAGATAATAAGGCATATAGCTGCCTTCCGAAAATCAGACAATTGATGGATGACACAGATCGCATCGTATACCATCCTCACCCCCACCCCCCAAACCCCGAGCACCACTCGCCATCAGACCTTTGGCGGCTGTGGGTCATTGTTGATGGGGGACTGCGTTCCCGTCTCAGTTGACGTGTCGCCGTTGTTCTCATCCACTGGGCCCTTCCCCTTCGGCAGCAGAAGCTCGTCAGGCATCTTGCAGTGACGCTCTCCGTACTCGAAGAGGTAAACCGTCATGCACAGGAGCCCCATCAAACAACACACTGTCGACGTCAGCGCCAGGCCACCAAACTGGGATGGCTGCAACAGCCATCGCACACACACACACACACAGAGAGAGAGAGAGAGAGAGAGTGGAGGCGGCGAGGTTACCTTCTACATCTTCGTGTGAGCCTCACTCACTTTGTTCCAGATTGCGCACGCAATGGAGAGGATAAGCGATTGCGCGGCGATTAACGACTGCTCTTGGGCATTGATGAGTCCCCTCAGCCTCGGTGGTGTGCCCGTCTGCAGAATCTGGCTCTGTCCAATGTCGAAGGCATACAGACCGAGACGCGACATCACCACACACACGAGAAAACAGAGCCCCAGCCACGACTAACCCGACACACCACACACCCCATAAGTGAGAACCGCCCCTCGATGTGGCCCTGTGCGCCAACCTACCCGTATGGTGGGCATTGCGGAGAAGAAGATCATTGCCACAGTGAGGCTGGTCCCTTCGATCAGGAGACAGCCCCATGACGTTTTTGCCACGCCCCACATGCCAGACACCAAAGGGAACAGCAACGTGCCAGTAACACCTGCCAAACACCCAACACATACGTACACGTACAAGTAGCCATCGTGGCAACGGCCAATATGTCCAATTGCCCATACCCGCGATCGCCCCAGCGGATCTGGCGAGGCCGACCTCATCTTCCGGCAGCCCCTGGCTCCTCAGCCACGCCAGAAACATCGATGATGAACCCATCACGTTGAAATACAAAAGAACCACAGCTATCACGGGCAGCAACATCTGCACATTTAAGGGACACCACAGGAAGGGCACAGCACCATCGAGGGTCCTTGGTGTTTCATCTATCTATCAGGTCTCCTTTGCTAACCGGTGACCTCAGCAGCACCCGACAGTTGTTGCAGAGTCCGAACAGCGGCAGCCTGTGCATCCACCCCACCATGAAAAGGCAGCAGTTCCTCGACTGTGGCTCCTCCTCGACGTCGCGGGCTTCAGGAGAGCTTTCACCGTGCGCCTCAACATCGGCGGACCTACAGTGACACCACACACCAAAACACCATTCCTGCGCCGTATTACGACTCTGTCTTCTTGCGTGCTCGTGGATTCTCTCACCTTTGCAGGAGGTGTTCCTTTTCGGAATAGACCCACCTGATGTCACAGCCAGAAGCCAATACAGTACCATGCACCGTGCAATCGTTTTCTCCGTCGGTTACGGCCCACCCACCTGAGCAACAGATATTCGAGAATGAACGATCCGGCGTTGACACCGACGACGGCCAGGTACGCCACAGACAGGTTCGTGAAGACCATAACCAGACCTGCCACCACTGGACACCCAATGTCGTTAATCTGAAGAGCGAGGGAAGAGCACGTGCTTGTTCACAGGCAGTCACCGAGTCACCGATTCCGCTCACCAGGTCCAGCCTTTGCATCCAGCTGTTGAGTCGCGTTAAGCTGGCCTGACGCTCTCGGCCTGGTAGAGACGTGAGTAGAGACAGACAGACACTGTCCCATCTCTTCATTCATGCGGATGGTCATTCCCTACCCTCCGTGTATGCCAGTGCCATCTGTGGAACCCAGTCGCGACACACGGCTATGCCACGCACAGTCGCAGCTACCTGCACCACAACAGTCCAGAAATAAGGACATATGCGCCACCGCTCCTTCCGCTGCGTGCCCGTACCTCCATCATGGCTGCTCCAGTGAACAGCAGAACCACGGCGCTCCATAACCTATCCACCCACACACACGCACGCTCTCATCAGACATCCCACTGACGTTGTCGCCACCTCCTCCATTCCATACCACATCTTGACCAGCGGTTCCTTGGCGCATTCGAGTGCCTCTGCAATCGACTCTGGTCTGCTGGGTGGCGGGTGGGGGCCGTGAGGTCCGGGCGCGGCGACTGGTCCCTCACGCTGGAATAGCAGGAAGGAGAAGACAGCGTAGCTCGACATGACCGTTGCGAGGATCTCTGCGCCGATCGAGGCGGTCACGATGCTCAGCCTGGAAAGAGAGAAAGGCACACAGACATGCTTCGTCCACGAGAAAGCCCTGTTTCTGTTGTACCTGTTGTGGCGCACAATTGAATCGGCGAAGCACGGTGTCATCAACCTGAAGGCAGGCACACAGATGGACACCTACTCACTCAGCTCTGTGAGGGTTCTCACTGACAGTTTGCCGATGTTTTGCGAGAAAGCATACAAGGCGACAACGAGTAGGCTCCCAGGGAAAAGGGCATACAACAGCAGGGGGATGGAAAACATCCACGTGCGGTCACCGAACCGCGTCAGAAAGTGGGAGATCAGCAACACAGTCTCTCCGGCCATTCTCAGAGATTAATGATATCCTTGGCCCTGCACCGCTGTCAGCGCCGAGGCCAGATCACCAAGGAATCAACACACATATAGACTTCGTTCCACAGCTGTCAGCTCGCAAGCGTCTGCGAGCTTAGCGCAACGAAGAGTGAGCGCGGGCGCTTCAGGTCAGGAGATGAAGGCGGCGCACAGAACAAGTAGCTATAGCTACATCGGTCGCAAGCTGGGCAGCTTTGCCAATCGAGTTGTGTATGCGCCGACTGCATCTGCTGATCTGGAGCGCAAGAAGGCCGAGGCGGAAGCTGACGTCGCCTGGTCCCCGGGGCAGGCAGACAAGACCAATGAGAGGTGCGCGCAGCATGGCATGAATGGCAGAGTCGAGTAACGAGAATCAAGCTGTGATGGACTGCACTCACCTTGTTGGATGTAGGTTTAGTCCATTGCGTGGAGGCGTCGCGTCGGCCGTGAAGAACACCTTGCCCCAGCGGAGCAATACGCCAGTGTCCAGTGTCTCGACATCAGATGGAGCGGTGAGTCTGGCAGAGCACTGACCATAACGCATTGTCACTGGTTGCACTGTGTCTATCCTTTGTGTGTGTGTGTGCTGCAGTCGGTTGCATCTGATTCGGCCTCAACGGGACACATCCACGTCCACCAGCCCGACGGCAAGGCCATCCGCCTGCCTCAATCTGCCATCATAATGGAGCGCATGTGGGACGCGACGTACCTCAAGACCCCGGTGGTCGGCATCCTGGACACGATCATGCAGTACTCCTTGCTGTTCGTGCCGAGGCCCGATAGGTGGTTTCGAGGCACCCGCTGCCCCTTTTTGGCCATGTGGACCTCCGAGTGCACCGCACCATGCGTTTTCCGTGGTCCGCAAACTACGGGCCGGTGGACGACAGTGATGGCGATGGACGAGTGTGCCGAGAGGATGGCCCGGTGAGTCAAAGCAGGGATGCAGACGCTCATCATGTCATTTCTTCACTCGTTCATCTGTGTCGTGTTATCACGTCAGGGTGAGGCCGCCGAACCCGTATGACTGGTGACGTGATCCAAGCAAGGGGATGGGATGCCTGACTAAGGTGCATGTGCAGAGTTTCTTTAGTGATTGTCGTGTGCTCTGTCTTGGCGAAGAGTGTGGTCGCCAGTGTGGCCTGGTAGTGCGGCACCTTCGGGCGAGCATCTTTTTGCTCACTCGCATGCTGTGCCTTCGGGCTGACGGCGGCCAGACAGTCGCTCTGACAGACGTGAGATAGCGTGATATGTGATGATGCATGCTGCTTTTTTCTCTTCGTCATTGATTGTCCCTGCGAGCCTTGGAACGACTGCTGTAGCATATCAGTGTGAAGCTTATGACTCACACACCATGTTTGTCTGTCTATCTGCCCGTTTGTCTGTTTGTCTGTCTTCTGTTGTGCATGTACATACATACATACATTTTGAGGGCGACTGACTGGCTGTGAAAGACACGAGGCATTGAAGTGATCATCACACGATGAAAGCGTCTCTTGTGTCATGCACTGTCTGCCTGTTGGCCTGCCTCGGCGCTGTGTCGGCTCTGCGCCGCCTCGTGCCGTCGGTGTCCATCCCCACACGAAAGATCGAGCGTATTGTCTTCAGCAAGTTCTTGTACTCCGAGGAGAAGAACTGCACGAAGCAGCAAGTGAGTCCCGACAGAGAGCTGAAATTCAGCTTTGTCAGTCAGGACATCGCAGGTGAGTGAATACAGTGGCGAAGAAAGACATCTGTCGTCCGTCTGAGTGTCTGTTGGTCTGTGTGTCTCCGTGCTGTTTGTGCAGGGTGGCACAGTGGCTACGTGGAGGGCGGCGACAAGGCTGTTTACCATCTGGGCTCTGAGGACATGTTCTACAAGAAAGTAAGGGACCATCGCATCCAGCTACACATCCATACACGCACAAGAACAGACGGTTACTGCACCGTCGATCTGCTTTGTGCGTGCGCGTGTGTGTGTCTCGTCTGCAGCCCAAGATCAGCCCCCTCATGCCTGTGCCACAGATTGTCTCCGCCGCATCGCTCCGCAAGGCCATCATCCTCCGCAACTTCCAGTGCCCGTCGGCACACGTCTCCGTGGACGTCGCACTCGGCGCGCCGGGTGCCGTCAAGGCGGGAGCCGTCGGGCTTGTGCTGCGAGTGAGCATCCATGTGAAGCAAAGCCAATCGAGACACATTGTCTGCGTGTGTTGCGCGGCAGGCATACGACACAGAGAACTTCTTTGTCATCATGATCAACATCAATGCTGTATGTATGCGGGACTCACAAACGGAAGCATGTCGGCCGCCACCGGTGTCTGTGTCTCTCTGCAGGTCGAGTTGTATCAAGTGGTGGACGGCGAGGCGACTGTTCTGGACACCAAGAAGAAGTGGGGCGACGGAAGAGAAGTTCAGCTCCAAGGTCAGGCAGGCATTCAGAGAGAGAGCGACCCACTTGTTGCTGTGCGGATGTGTGTAGGCTATCCCCAGTTCTACCGATTGGTTCTCGATGACGACTTAGGCGACGTTACGGTGTCGCTCACGAGCCTCCAGGAGGGCGTGCAACAGGACCTCAACTACACACGACCCCAACAATCACCCTCGGAACTCGCCAACCCGAAGGTAAGACACATAGCTCCAGAAGACACGAAAGATGACCGGTTGTGTCTCGATCCGTCAGAATCTCCCTCTGCCTCCGTGTATCTCTGTCAGGCTCAGGCGATTGGTCTTGTGACTTCGAATGGCGGCGGCTCGTTCAAGAAGCTGTCTGTGGAACCGATCGGTGAAAAACTATGTACCCATCTCATCCATCCTCAGTCCTTGCTCGGGTTGCATGTGTGTCGATGCATGCAGACTACGAGGCGCTGTTGCCTCCCAATCCGCCCCAAGTGACGCCTGCGCCCTTCAGCATTTCTGGCGGCGGCAAACAGGGCCTACACCCAGAGAGTGGCACGGATTACTGGTAACAGCAGCGCCAACGCAGCAGACTGAAAGTCGAATGGAAAGACGTTGATTGGTTGCCTTGTGTGTGTGCAGTCCCCCTGGCGCTCTCTGTGCTCCCGAACCTTACAAAGCCTTCCATGTCGATTAAGTGATCACCAGGACAGTGTCGCGTCACATACAGACATGCAGTGACTGAGCAGCAGCCAATCACCATTCAAGCGCATCATGTAAGTGTTCACGTCTCCTCTACGCTCTTCTTCTACACGCACCCATCTATTCAGCCACCCATCTATTCAGCCACCCATCTATTCATGTGAAGCTACCGATCCATCGATGCAATGCCATACGCGACACACACGCAGATTCGCCGAGCTGCATCATCACACATGCTGCAGGTACAATCGTTCGTGCCTCACTTGCCATGTATTGAGTCTTCCTCGCCGGAGCTCCTTCAACTTGGCCCCGGCCCCAAAAAATGGCGAACTTCCCCTCGGCCCCCTCTTGAAGCTGTGTGAAGGAAATCAGTGCAAGATGCAGCGCCCCCCCGCCACACGTTGGGAGCCCAAGACGATGATGGGGAAGGGCAAGAAGCCTCTATCGCCCGAGGACGATAGCGAGGACGAACAGCCCCCTCCCCCTTCCTTTCC